CTGTATGGGATGAAATCTAAATTTATAGCCTCCATTTCAAAATTATTTTCCTTATTATTCTCTTTTTGTAATCTTTAACTCTTTCTCCCTGTTCAATCATTTAGAAACACATGCTCTTCTAAAATCTTGCCAAAAATTATCTTTTTTGCAAGATAATTTCTTGCAAATTATCACTTTCTTCTTCATATTTTTTTTTGCTCTGTTCACCATACTTCCAACAAACTGAACATGGACCTCTTCTGTTTTTATTCAAATTAATAGAAAATATGAAATCCAAAAGTTTGGATTTGATTTTCTATGTGATGTTGACCAAATTTCTCTCAGCTCAGTCTTCTCAATCAGAATAATAAAAATGTTCTTCACAGAAGCTGTATAATAATTACATAATGTAATATACCTGAAAGTGTCGAGCACAGTGTTTAGCATATTGTGGGCTCCATGCATCAAGTATTATAGCAAACTGTTCTTTGGCATTTTTTGAGTAAGCTTTGTCCAAATATATTAAATTCCTTAAAATAAGAAACTCTACTTCACATTTTCTGTATAAAGTGATAAAAATATTAAATCCAAATTCCCACCCATTATCAAAAAGTTTTTACCAGATTAGTACATTCTAGTAGATGAGAAAACAGCTAAATATTATTTGTTCATTTTAACCACAAATCAAAAGGAAGATCAGGTGACAAAGGTTTCATTCCCATACTAAAATGATAAATGTTGAATGTAAATTCCTTTTGCTATCAGTCAAAAATACATACATGTAGTGGTGTGAAGGAGTTACATACTTTGGCATATTAATTGGAAACAGCACATGAATATTTTAAAAAATTATCCAGCATTTTCTAAATTCACATTCTCCTACAATAAATCTGATAATCTGATTTACACAATGGATACTACACAGCAAAAAAGCAAAAAAGAAAAAGAAAAAGAAGGAACTCCTTCCCTTCATGAAAGCATGAATGGAACTGGGTACATTATGCTAAGTGAAATAAGCCAGGAGGTGAAAGACAAATACCATATGATCTCACCTATAAGTGGAACCTAATCCATGAAACAAACAAGTGAGTGAAATAGAACCAGAGACATTAAAATAGAGAACAAATTGACAGTAACCAGAGCAGAGGCAGGAGGGAGATAACGGAGGAAAGAAGGAAAGCGTGGTCAAAGAACAGGTATAAAGAACTCATGGACAAAGACAACGGGGGTGAGGATTGAATGTGGGAGGTGGGTGTGGGTACGGTGGGGGAGAGTAATGGGAGGTTAATGGGGACAACTGTAATTGAAAAACAAAAACTTAAAAAAAAATTTCTTCCACAAAATAAAAAATAAAATAAAAAGTTAAGTAGCTTCCTTTGATGTTATTTACACACTATAGTAGTTGCCCTTTATCTGAAATTTTGCTTTCCACTTTTCCGTTACCTGTTGTCAACTGATGTCTGAAAATATTAAGGAAAATTCCAGAGATAAATAATGCATAAGTTTTAAATTGCATACTGTTTTAGACAGTGTGATGAAATCCCATGCTATTAGTCTCCATCCTGCTCAGAATGTGAATCATCGCTTTGTCCAGCATCTCCACACTGTAGATGACTCAGTAATTAGACTGACTGAAGCAGGGTCACAGAGTGTGTGCTCATCACTCTTACTTTACTTAATAATGCCTCATTTACCTCCCTTCATCTCATCACACAAGCACGTTTTCATCTCACATCATCATAAGAAGGAGGGTGACTAGAGTGCAACTCATGTAACTTTTATTACAGTGCATTGTTACAATCATTCTGTTTTAGTTTTAGCTATTGTTATTAATCTCTTACTCTGTCTTATTTATAAATTAAACTTTACCATAGGTATGTACATATAGCAAAAACATCGTATTTATAGGGTCTAGGACTATCCAGAATTTCATGCATCCACTGGGGGTCTTGGAATATGTCCTCTGAGGATAAAGGGGGACTGCTATTGTTGTTTTCAAATGACTTAGTATTAGAGTTTATTATCTTCCTTGTGTATGCAATAAACTGAATATTTAGAAGCTGCTGAGTGCTCTTATTTTATTTCCAAGATTATGATCAAATCATTGGCATTGACTTGTGAACATTTGGGAGAAAATAATTTTTTCATTATTTACATTACTAGTATCTTGCTAACCCAACTTCTTCTGAAACTAATGACTTTAAAATAATCTGTATAAATTCTAAATGTCATCGCTTATTACTCAAATCTTCCCTAAGAAGATAATGGCACGACACTTAACAATATCCAAATGTATAATTGAAATTGCAACCCTCGTAAAACTGAGCCTCTTCAGAATGGTATGTATATCTCCTAGGTGGACATTAATGGGACAAAACGACAGCGCACTCAGTGGGGTGAATAGACTCCTGAATAGTAGTCAGTAAATGTTGTGAAGATGTGGTAAGCACTGTGGAAAAAGCTTTCTTGCTTTCTTCTAGAACAGTGGTTTTAAATTACTTCTAGGAGATCTAGGGTTCCGAGATTTTATGGGAGTGGTAGAGAGTGGTGGGGTGGGGTGGGGTGTGGTGAGGGAAGAGGAGGTCACAGGGTGGGGGTAATGCATGTGGCAGGGAGAGGGCTGAGAAAGACCAATTGAATGCTTCAAGCCCTTTTCTTCCTGTACTCCAACTTCTTCAATGACTTATATCTGTTTTCTATACAGAGCTTCTAAGCAAAGTGATGTCTGGAAGAAAAGCTATGCTACCTCCTTCCATCCAAGTACTAACCAGGCCTGACTGTGCTTAGCTTCTGAGATCAGACAAGATTGGGTGCATTCAGGGTGGTATGGCCATAGATGAAAAGTTCTGCTACTGAAAAAAACAGTAGTTGATCATCTATGTTTCAGAACCCAGGTAAAATTCTTTTAAATGAGTGAGCCATTATACTTATAAATGGCAATAAACAATTTCATACAGTTACCTTTAATTGGGCAAGTAATATGTCCTGGAAAGAAAATGAAAAAGCCCAGGGTGAAAAGTATGTTCTTGAAGGATTTTAAAAAATTGTACACTTAGCCCAGGATTGCATGAAGTTAAATATTACTCTGTTCTCCATTGCACCTCAATCAAGACATTGGTTTCCTATCTTGAGAGGTCACTTGATTAGTCTTTTCCAGTATGAGAGCCAGAGAGACATTGTTTAGTGATCTGTTGTTCACACCTTAAAAGTTTGACTTTTAAATCACCTGCTCCTACCACATCTCTTGGTGGGAAATCATTGAGGATGGCAGTGCAGATCTCAGAATTTCTTGACTGTTACTAAGCATCTCACCCCTGCTTCCCAAACATTGGCAATTCTTATCTTCAATCCTAGATTCTGTATGTTGGTCAGTAAGCTTGCATTGGCTTGGCCATTCTCCATTAAAGCCAAGGAGCTCGCCCAGAACTCCAAAGTGTTAAGCACCTCTACCTCCATTTTCAGCAGCACAGAAAGCCCTTCTTACCAAATTACCAGGGATTCTGTGCTTAATATTTGCTTAATTTATTTTTAACTTGCTTAAGTAATTAACCTGAACTTTGGATTCTCTTATTAGTTAGAGTACCTACTTGAGCAGAGGTGCTCCCAACTTTTATTACTTTTACTCTTAAAAACTGTTAAGTAGAAATTGTTTAGTATAAATGCCACTTCCCTGTGATTCATTGACTATGAACTGAGGCACTTGTGTTTTGGATTAGGAAAAATTCCGTAGATCAACATACTAAAGATGTGTTCCATGATACACAAATCCTCTGAGATACTCAGTGAGAAAGTGTTTCTGTGGTCAGGCATAGTTGGGAAGCACTGTGATTCTCTTGGAGTTTCAAAATGTGCATTGGAATGGCAAAGTGCTAAGTAGTTCTTATACTTAGTTGATTATATACTTTTTAAATCCTCCCTCCTGTCCCTTTGCCTTCCCTTCTTCTTTTCTTCTTTCTTTTTAGAAACATTAACTATCTAGGGACCCATGGGAAAGATTTTGGAAAGCACTGCACTTGCCTATTTAAGAAAAGTTTTTTGCGGTCAATTTCTGTTTTTCTTTGTAATTCCAGAGCCAGCACAGTGTCTGGCACAAGGTGATTACTCAATACATGTTTGTTCAATTAAACAAAAGTATATGAATAAGATGCCAAACACTGTGTTGCAAACAAGTTGTTTTAAAAAATCACACCAGTTATTTGGTGCCAGGAATTTGGGAATTTTACAGAAATAAATTATTTCAAAATTAGATTTAATTAATCCATATTGGATCTAGATCAGAATCCCAACATGTTCAATTTGGGACAAGTGCTTGTATGTATTTTATAGACAAGGCAAAAATAAAGATAAGTTATTATCTTTCAGACTGAAGATGTTGAAAGAATTATCTCAAGGAAATTAAGTATAGCAATAGATACATGAGCCCTGGTCTCAACCCAGGTGGGTTCAAACCCCAATTCTGCCATTTACTAGGTGAAAGAATGTGAGCAAATATATTTGTGCCTCAGTTTCCTCATTTTAAATGGTGATGGTTATTGTGCTCCTCTCAAAGGCCATTGTGATGACTAAGTAAGATTAACAAGTAAACAGCAAGTAAAGTGTCTGGCACATGGAAATAACATTAAATATTAATATTATTAAATACATTATCAGCCAAGATTGCATAGTCAATATGAAATTAGAGTCGGCACTAATCCTATTTAGAATTTGGGAGACCTTAAGAATGGAAATATGGATGGGGAGAAAGGAACTGTATAACTGAGGTCTCCATGTGGATAGCCCTCAGTACTGGGCCACTTGCAGCATTTTCTTGGAGGAGAGTCTGTTCTGGTTTGAAGGTACAACTTACAAACCTCCCAGGGAGAGGCAGTAGGTGGAGACATTTTACTTATTTGGGTATTTTGTGGATTCAGGCACAATTCTTTTCATTTACCCAGAAGTCCCAGGGAGCTTGCATTATTTTTTGAGAAATGAGAGAAGGAAGAGAGTGCCCTCTCTGTGAGGCTGTTTGTCCCATGCCTTACCTGAAGGGGTAGGCAAATGCTATGTCAATGCTGAGGTTACTGTCTGTCTTGTTGACGCAGTCCACACTCAGCCGCAGACCTCCAGAATAACCACCACATGTTGCAAATGCAAAAATTGCAAAAAGCTGTGAAGAACAAAAACAGAAGAGAAAGTGGCTATTAAAGTGATGCTAATCAAATAAGTGCTCATCAGTAAATGAGTGGAAAAAAAATATGGTAAATTTACACAATGGAATACTACGCAGCAGGAAAAAAAGATGGAATTCCTACCCTTCACAACAGCATGGATGGAACTGGAGAGCATTATGCTAAGTGAATAAGCCAGGCTGTGAAAGACAAATACCATATGATCTCACCTATAATTGGAACCTAATCAACAAAACAAACAAGTGAGCAAAATAGACCCAGAGACATGGAAATAAAGAACAAACTGACATAACAAGAGGGGAGCAGGGAGGAGAACAATGGGGGAAAGAAGGGGAAGGGTGATCAAGGAACACGTATAAAGGACCCATGGACAAAGCCAAAGTGGAGGTAGGATTGAGGGTGGGAGGTTAGCGAGAGTGAGGCAGGGGAAAGTAGTGGTGGGAAAATGGAGACAACTGTACTTGAACAACAATTAAAAAAAAGAAATATCAATAGGAGTTTAGTAGCTGGATTGAGTGAAGTTACGGTTCTTCTAAAGCACAACAGTAAATTTGTTTCAAGCTGGAAGATGGAAGGCCAGAATGATGGAGGAGAATGGAGAGGTGGCTTCTGAAAAAATAATCTGGCAAGCTGGAGTCATTTTGCTTGGAGATAAATTAAACACAGGGACAAAATATATGTATTTGAGTGTGTAAAGAGCTGTCATGCCTCAGAAGGTAGAGATGTCATCTCACATCAAAGGATCTGGAAATCTACCCACACCACAGGATTAATGATGGATATCTCTAGGTGAGAAGAATTTGAGGTGTCTCCTTGCTGTCTTTTTGTTTCTCTGTATTTGTCTTCAATAAACATGCTTGTCTTTTGAAATAAATGGATTATTAAAAAGGTATGATCATAGAATTTTAGAGCTAAAGGGTTGAGGACAAGTAGGTGAGTATCTAAAACATGATATTTCAGAGCACAAGAGACTCAGTATGCATGAGCTTCAAGCTTCCCTTGGTGGTTACATCACTGTGTGAATTGCTCTTTCTAAGCCAACTATTAAAAGTTTCAACTGGTTACCAAGTAATATCATGGTTTAGCCTGGTACAGACATAGAGCTGTAAAAATTAGGCACTAAAAATGAGAAGCAGAAATTCAAAGGTATTTTTAAGAAAGAAGATACGTCTGGGAGGGTGGGCAGAGCTGAAGATGGAAAAGAAAATGCCAAATTTGTCCACATTGTGTAGCTAAATTCAAAAGAATTTCCTCATTTCCAAAGAAAATTGATCAAGTGCACTTAACACTGGTCCATTCTGTAATATTCCCATTTATTTTATTTTAATATTTGGAATTCAGTTTCTTATAGTAGGTTGGGATACATATTAGGAATACTAGCTCACTTTGCATAGCTAGAGGAGTTACTTATTTCCTTACAATAACTATAAGTGTTTAGGCTCTGGAATGTGATCTTGGTATTGTTACTTAATTTCCCCATGCTTTGGTTCCCACATCAATAAAATAGTATTGATAGCAGGTCCTCTGGGTCATTTTACTGTTCATGATATAAGTCAGACAGTCGCTGTAGACAACAAGGCTGTTGAGCCTTGTTGACAACAAGTCACCAGGCCTGTTCAGAAAGTTCAGAAGGCAAAACAAGCATTGTCCATAACACCTACTGCCTCACTAAATCAGTGGTAGAAGAAGAGCCTCAGAGCTATTTGTCTCAATTGTTTATTTAACTGTAATAATAATAATAATAAAAGACTGGTTAATGATAAGACCTTCACAGGGAAAGCAATATTTGGTGGATCATTTTGGTGTGTGTAGCAGTTTTAAGTTGTTAGTTTTTAAAATCAGTGTTTTAAAAATGAAAGTAACTTGTCTTAAAAATATAGTAGATACGGTAAAAAACGAACTGGGTTTCTATGTGTTAATGTATGTAAAACATTTAGAACAGATCTTGGCACAGAATAAGCACTCAATAAATGTTACTGAATGTTATCACTGAAAATAGATGTGGATGAGCTCCTTGGTAAGATGTTCCAGACCACAAAAAATGACATTTAGGCTTACTCATCCCTAGCCAAGTCTGTATGACCATCAGCCCCAGTGAACCAACATCTATGCCCTCTAGAAAAACTGATCATTTTTGCTTTTTCTGCTTTTCCTAGTTTGACTCACTGATGGGAGGTGAGGAGCCATGCAGAAGCTACTCCAACATACTCTTCAGTGGGGATGATGCACAGAGAATGTCAGGGAAGAAGGGAACCTGATCTTTATCCCTGTGGCATGGATTTGTTTACTTCTCATGACCAAATATTCTTTGTGACAGCTCTTTGTATTGGTAGGAAAAAAGAGGAAGTGATTTCAATTGTTCCATACTTAAATCTAGAAAGCATACAATACTGGATGTCTCAGCCTTTGTGCCATGTCATGATAGCACCATTGGAAAGTCTTCTTCCAAAAGAAGGAATGGAGAAATGGAACCTAGAGCTCTATGGTATGCCAGTGGAGAGAGCTCTTTCCTCACCCAAGCTTCCTCACCTGTCAAACAGGGAAATCCCTGCATCTTTCTGAGTCAATGAGAGAATAAAATGAGATGGGAGTATGTATTCATGTGCAGCCCCCTCTCTCAATTCATGAAGAGATTTGTGTGGTATTTACACACAGGTATCTCTCTGGGGCAAGAGCCAAGTGTGTAATTGGCATTATATTCCTTGAATAAAGATGTAGCAGAATAGCACAGCCTTTGAACAGTTGCATTAAAACAAACTACTTGAAACATTAAAGCAAAGTGAGTAAGAGTAGGGGGCAAAGAAAAATCCTGATAATTTTAGCACTTAATGGCTACAAATAAATTACCCTTGGCATTTCATCTTATTTCAAAGTGTATTATATACAGTAATATATTATTAATACTACCACATCATGAACTTAAGATTGAATGATAATTATATTCAACTGTTCAAACTGTTAGATGCATAGAGTCATCATAGTATTGAAACCACACACATCGTTATTTTTTTTCTTTTAACTTCTATTAAGTTCTGAAAACATGACATTGCTCAGGAATTAAATATCATGCCCATGGGCTTTGTGCTTACCTTTCTCCTTTCCCACAGATTAAAGGGAAATCATACTGTGTGACCAATATCAAATTCAATAATATCATGATGTGAGGATTAAACAGACAATAGCTGTATAACACTGTAAGAGTTAGATCCTGCTGAGCGAATATGTTACAATATAGTTGATTCTGGATTTGGGTGAGTGAAATCAACTCCTTCAGGGCGTATTAGCTAAGAGTCTGTTCCTATAATTAGAATACATTAATATAGAATGGGGAGAGAGGACTGGGAGCTCTTTGGGGGACCAAAATTCTCTTGGTGTTATAGGGAAACGTAGAATGGGAGTAAACTTTGGAAACACTCCCGCTGATTTCCCTCCCAGAAGTTCCTGGAGCAGTTCTGGAATCAGACAGACCTGACCTTGAATCCAATTCCCAGCTGTCTGATGCTGAGCAAGTTATTTAACTTCTCAAACCTCACTTCCTACATCTACCACATCAGGGCACATTCACTGGTTCATTTAGCAGACGTTTAATGGTGTGCACTCTTGGTTCCAGATGACAGGGAACAGAAATGTAAAAAAGTTAGAGAAAAGACAAAGAAGAACCCTGCCCACTATAGAGCTTAATGCTGGATGCAGGAGACAGAATCAACAAGAACATCCAAATGAAGTTATTATAACTTGTGCTACATATTTTGAGGGGATGCTCTTCTAGACTGGGAGCTACAGCTGAGGATGTCACAGTTAAGATTGGGGATGACTGAGAAGAGGCCATGCAGAAAGGGGTTGGGGGTAAAGGAAAGAACTCTGGGCAGAGGGAGCAGCACAAAGGAAAGCCCCAGCAAGGAAAAGTCTGACAAATTCAAAGAACCAGTAGAAGTTCAATGGGGCCATTAGATGGTGAAAGAGGTTGAGAATCATTAATATTTCCTCCCATGTGTTTGTGTCCATTAGCTGACAGAACACGTGTTAACACAGCAGGTTCACAGCCTTCCATAAACATTAAAAATACTAACATACTACTGAAGAAACTGAGAACTAAAGAGAAAAATTCACTTCTCCCAACTCAACTGAATGGAGTCGGAACTAGAATCCTGGTCTCTATACTCCCTGAGTCAGCATTCTTATAGAGTAAGAGAAAGAATAATTTTTGGCCGTGTGGGCAGAAGGTATGTCAAATGGTCCAGCCTTCTTTACCCAAAAACACACCATGGTGCTTCTGTGGCCTGAGGCTCTCCGTGTTTCTCCTGAGTGTCTCACAAACATATACCTGTGAGCTCACTAGCTAAGCAGAATGGGTGCTTCGCCTTCCTTCCTTCCTTCCCTCCTTCCTTCTTTCCTTCCTTCCTTCCCTTCCCTTCCTTCCTTCCTTCCTTCCTTCCTTCCTTCCTTCCTTCCTTCCTTCCTTCCTTCCTTCCTTCCTTCCTTCCCTCCCTCCCTCCCCGCCTCTTCTTTCCTCTTTTGACCCTTGATGAGGTGGAGAATTTTAGGAGGATCTTAGAAGATGTAGCAAAGAGAAACTTCCTTAGTTTGACAATCATTGTTCTGAGAGATCGTTATTATTAGCAAGAGGGAAGTTTGTGTGTCTTGTAGGTGTTTGGCTCAACAAGACTCATGTTTTCCTAAGACAGACCATATCCTTTCCTGGGAGATGGAAGAGATGGGAACACTTTGTTATGCGGCCAGGATGCAATGAGAAATGGGTGTGGGTCTTGGAAAGCAAGAAGGGAGAGGAGCCTGAGGGGACCAGGTATGTGGGGTATAGAGAAAGATCAGAGATTGACTGGGAGAAAAATTGTCATCTAAGGCGGATTCTTTAAACAGCTTGATGAGACATGTAAAGGGAGGTATTTTTTGTGCCCACATGCATACATGTGTTATTTTCTCTTGACTTTGGGCTCCATGTGTTCATCCTCAGCTAACA